TGAAAAAGTGCGATAAGTCAAATCACTGACGCAGCTCTAAATGAGCGGAAATCCGTCTCGATATTTCATCAGGGTCAGAACAGGCCGAGACAAGTATTTATCGCGACATCTTCCTGATGCTCATGATTTCCACAGTGTCTATCAGCACGCGTTGGGCATGTGATGTTGCTCAATCTGCAAACGTATGAATTTTAGTTTTAATAGGGTCATTCCCTATAGAATTACGAGACAATTGATATTTGAGCTCTTTGGTCTATTTGTGTTCACCAGACGCGGGCATCTAAGTAGAAACATATACATATAATATCACTCGTTACCTATTGCAGTTCCATAGATACAGGGTAAACCAGTAAGGAATAAAAATGTGAAGATGGAGAAATAGAAAAGATGGTCGAGGAAAGCAAAAATATGGATAAATTTTTCAGGGACGAGAGCTTATTAAAAACTCGTTTCCGGGGCTTCTCCTCTTCCCACCAATTTGAGCAGGAGTAGAGATCGCGGTTGAGCTCGCTGCAGGTCATTTGCAATAGATTACGGGAAATGACTGATGAATTCCTTTTTATCAACTTTATTTTAGCCTCAACATGCTTCCCAACGAAGTGCAAGAAATTCGTACTGATCAGATTTTTACGTGACCGTGGTCTTGTCAGGGTACATACGCCTGCTGAAGGCAATGTCCCCCTGGTCTTCGGAACGTCAAAGAAACATGCGTAGAACAACGAGATTAACCTGAAATAACCACTGAAAATGATCAACACAAGCTATTATGTAACTGGAAACAAGCAGTATTGAACATCTATTCAAATACACCTTTAAGCGATAAGCCTAGTGACTGCGTCATAAAACGTCCCACAATTTTTTTCGTTGACTGTTCGTCATGAAGTCGCTTAATTTTTTTGTGTGGCTCATTCATTCCATCAAGTGTCCTATCTCGTGGTCCCAGGTCCTAGCGATATTGAAATGTACATCATTGCTATAGAAATAGTTATATCATAGTTATAAAAGGCTATAGACCTCGATTGATTTTTTCTTTTTTTTTTCCCAGATTGCCCCCAAAACTGCGAGAAATGCTCAAACAGATTTTCTTGTTGTGCATGTGACAAAGGATATGCACCGTTAAAAAGATTTAACATGTCGCGCTGCGTCCAAAATTGCCCTAGAGGATGCAAAAAAAATAGCATAACGCGAAGAAGGGAGCCAGTGCGTGAAAGGTAAGCTTTCAAACCTACGCGTGTTTCAATTCCAGCTGAAATCAGATAGTTACGGAAAGTTTCGGTTTGCTGTTACTTTTCTTAACCCTTTGACTCCCAGGGTTCTATTAGTAATTCTCCTTACTGCATGCTTTGCAATTCCTATGAGGTCAGTTCGGGGAATTTGATATTGGATCAATTAACAATCCCTCAATTGATATTTTTATTCACTTTCACACTTGCATTAAATTTATTTCTTTGTCAAACAAGGCAAACAACGTCCCGAGTGTACATGTAGGTACCAATTTGTATTTATTCACAAAATAATCCACCTCATAACTGCTTTTCCCTCTTTTAAGCGTGCTCCCTAAATTGCAAGACGTGCCAAAACAAATTATCTTGCTCCGTATGCGAAATGGTTATTCTCTGTTCCGAGGCTTCGCTAGTCTGGGGAAAGGACGCTGTCTTTCAAACTGCCCAAATGGATATAAAAAAGCGATGAACCCCGCAGGTGGATACAAAAAACTGATGTTGGAAGTGGAGCTTTTTTACCTTTATCCTTTTTGGATTATTTGATTTCTTTACCGCATGAACCCAATTTTTTTAAATTTTTTTTTATAATGTCCCTCGGCTGGACGTTTTTCAATGTTCCTTATCTTGTCGCCCTCAGAAATAACTTCCAGTAGCTTATTTATTACTCGATGAAACAATCAGTATGTGCTGTTAGATTCCGAATCCTTAACGATCCTCTGATCTTCGGAAAAAGGTCACCGCGTTGAGATAAGAATTAATCATATAGAATCGTTGCGTTCAATTTTCAGGGTGCACATCAAATTGCAATAAATGCCGAAACATATTTTTCCTGCGCTGTATGTAAAAATGGATATTCGCTTTTTAGCTTACGGTGATTGATCGCTGTGTAAAGAAGTGTCCAAAGGGTTACAAACCTGAGGGGAGCCTTCCAAATGGATTCATCGCTTCCGAACTAGCCAATCAGTGCGCGTAAAAAGTATTATTCACCTGTGTGGTATATACTAAAGCATATTATTGTTAATATATATTAACATTATCATCATCGGTATTATTATCATTATTTTTATAATTATTGTTATTTTAGGGTAGAATGTCGCCTTTGATGGAACTTAGTTGACTTTAGTTTAGTTAGGAGAAGGGACCCAACAACTTATGGTTGCTTGAAGGGAGTAAAAAATGCAAATCACCTCTTACCTCTATTGGGTATCACAGCGGTTCTGTCATTTGGTGACTTGGCAAGGAGACCAAGAACGAAACATTCGAGAGGTGAAATCAAGCCCCTATCATTAGGGGCTAAAGGCGTCTAAATGATATACATTCTCCTAGAGCTTTATTATATCAGGGTAATTTGGTATTATCAATCGAGTTGATAACGTAAATTGGCCAAAAGACAAACGTCAGCGAAACGTCAGCTTTGTAACTCTTGTAATTACAAGAGTTACAAAGCTGGCGTTTGGAGCGTTAGCCCTTCACCATTTGCTCTTTTTACGTTGGCCAATTTACGTTATTAACTCAGTTGAAATTACCAAATTACCCTGTTATACTCTTACCTTGTTACAGAACTTACCCATTTCATTATATCAGTCAGAACTTTTCAGCCATCTGGGTAAGTCTCATTTGGTCGGGGAGACCCAATTATTGACAACGACCTCAACTCTCTCAGTACTGGCCTTTGGTTACTTTTAACATGTTTAATACATATCAGTTGTGACTGTAACAACCGAGCCCACCACTGAGCCGCCTTCCGAGCCAGAGCTGACAGAAACCATAGTACCCCCGACCGAATTCAGCTGTTCAACTGATCCCGGACCGTCCATCACGCCTGAACTACCTTTTTAGGAGTAATAATAATAATAATAATAATAATAATAATACAGTATTTATATAGTGCTATTTCTATTGCTATTCAATAGCGCTTAGCAACTAACAACTAAAGTTCCTACCACCAATTCTGACTCGTCGACTACCTTCGAAACATTCAGCACCCCGGAACCCACCTCCTCCGAGCTGAGTAGAGCAGAAGTGTCAGCCACCGAGCTCTACCCCTGAACCGACCACTACACCTGAACCAACCAATAACGCTTGACCTTACATTTGCTCTTATTCGATGGGGATTATCTCATATTAATTTACTCCGTGAAGACCTCTACTGCTAACGTGTAAGCTATTTTGTTGTTGTTGTTTTTTTTTCAATTTGTATACTTAGTTTTGTTTGTATTGAGAAGATTTTGGAAACACAGTACTTAAAATTACTATTTTGAAAAAAGCTTTAGGTAGTTATCCATTTCTAGGTTTACTACATAAGAGGAACCTACCAATGGATAACTCGCAAAAATGGGTTCTTTTCAACATAGTTACGTTAGTATATTTGACTGTATTCTTTTATTCCTAAAAGCGGTCGTAAATATTCCCATACAAACTCCTATAATTTCGCCATGACTCTTATTTCGCAAAACGACCATCTCACAGCTGGAGCGTGGGCCGCCTGTGCAGTTAACCGTAAAAACCAGAGCCCCTATAACTGTGCGGTGCGTGTTTACTAACATTTACAAAGTGAATTGTCAAACAAAGTTTTCACGACACGTTGTGACCTCGATTCTATAAGCCTCCCAGAGTGACATAAACAGAACCTTCTTGAAGCGAGTCCTCACTCCAAATCATACGACCAAAGTCCAAAAATATTTTTATCTTTCTCGTTTGTCTAAAAAAATAAAAGGAGTGGGAGCAGACAATTTGATAGTCTGGCAATTTGATACTAGAGAAGTATGTGGAAAGGAAATACTCTATGTCTAAAACCGTCATGTTTGTTCTAAAAACAACTGCTAATCGATTTTCATTTCATCAAGAATGTATTGAGCCACCTTGTGGATGGAAAATGAATGTCTCTTCTCAAATAGCTCAAAAAATCTTTTCATTACTGAATTGATATAGAGGATCGGAGATTGTAATCTCTGCTTGAGAGGTTCATGCGGTCCTTTTCCACATCAAATACGTCAACCCCTGTTGACACTGTCAGTTTTGTTTTCATCTTGTTGCTTTATATTCTTCCCTCGTTTTCATACGACACTTCGTATACATAAGAGACGGACTTTGCGAGTTTTACAACTTCTTTCCAGTTATGTGTAATCAACGATTCACCATGAAAATATAGGCAGCCAGGCGTTTGGTATTTGTGAACAGACTGAAAACGTCGCACAATAATGACGTACTGGGCATGTGATCACTTCGGGATGATCGCCAAATCAGAGATAATGAGTAATTATTGGAGATTGCGTCGAAGATAAAAAAAGCCGACAGATGAGTCGTTAGCTGAACAACACCCACGCAAATAATAAAATGCGTTCGATTTATCATATGGATAAGGGAAAGAAATGAAGGACAAGAATAAATACGGTTGTTCGTTTTCCTTCGCTTGTGTCCTCACAGCTTCAATTTCAATAAGCTACCGTGAGATTTCACAATTCCGAAGGTAGTTTTAGTTGAGTCCGGAAATCGCAACAAATCAACAGTTAATCAGTCTAGTTTGGGATGATTTCTGAGATGTTACGAAAGTCTCTTTGCACTTATTTTATGCCAAAACATGAAAAGGGTCCGACAACCTTTAAAATCTGAAAATCATTATTCACTCAATAGGAAAAATCTGTCAAATCGTGTCTTTTGAGGAACTAATGGGTATGGAAAACTTTGACCTTCAGCTTAATGTATGACTGATAATAACCATGACAGATATGACACCAGCTTTCCTCTTGTATTGTTCTCTAGAACAAAGCCGGTTTGTCTAAGGTTTGGCAGGTCGAGGCGGTGAAATTCCGTAGACACGCCAGAATCATTACCAGTTTGGTGCGTTTAGAGGCTTTCATCATGAGGAAGGTGTTTTTGGTTCTGTTAGGCATCGCCATCGTCCTGCTTGCTTCAGCTGAGGGTAGGAAAAGTCGTAAGCGGGGAGGAAAAGGTAAAGGAAGTTTGTCTCGGCCAGACAAAAAAGGTGAGTGCGATTCATCGAAAATTTAAATGACGCATAAAAGCTTATTGTACCAATTTGAGAGGAAGAAACACGCTCAACCTCTGTCAATATAACGTTTGGTAAATTTTATCCTGAGTGTTTTGTCTATAGGTTATTACTGAGAGCCAAAGCTAAATTCAGCAGCAATTGCGTTGGTGCTTAAGGAATAATTTCGGATGTGGGGTTCTAAAGATCTTACCGTATGTACATTATACACGCGGATTTTGGATTTTGACCTTTCTATGCTTTGTTGATCATTTTCCCGACCAAAGCTGCAAAGGCTAGCCTCCAAGTCTTGTACTGAAATTAGAAATAACACCCGATACATGAAGGGTTTCGGATTTGCGGTTAGCTCAGGCGTTTAGCCACGCATAGAGCGAAAAGAATAGGAAATTATTTTCTGCCTTGAACAAAGCGAAACCTCATGGAACAAAAGCTGAGAGAGAGAGGGAGTGAGGGGGAGAGAGAGAAGCAAAATTAGATTACAGAATAAAATGAGCGTTTTGACCTTGTGAACCGAACTACTCAGCTCGATGCGCAGTTAAGACCCTCTTGGTAAACTTTACCGGCGCCATGGTTAATCTTGGTGTTTTTACGTCTAGTTAACCTTGAAATCCGATGTTCTTCTATGGATTTCTCCGTTTCTTTAAGTTGCGTTGCGCTTGTAGTTTCTTAAGCAATTTACATTTGCCCACCTCGCAAATTTTCTAAGTCTTTCAGTCAAAGGCAGGGACTACGGATGGTCAACAAATGTATCACATGATGCGCTGATAAACTCTTCATTATGACTGTATTGCATAACTTAACCAGCGACACTGCAGAGAGTCAGACAATGGGGCTTTTTTCTATTCATTTGGTGTTGTGGTCCGTGTCATATATAGGTTTCATTGTTCAAATTAGATCTTTTACTAGTTGATTCTTCATAGTTGCACCTCAATCATTGGTTTTGTCTTCTAATTTGTGGTCTGTTTGTGACATCTCATACTCAACTAGCATGTGTCAAAAACTGCATCAGTTGCAACCGCGAAGGAACCTGCCTCGAGTGCGATGATGGATTCGCCAAAGTTACCTTCCCGAAACGATCCAAAACAGTATGTGTTCCTTGCAGCAAACGAGGAAAAAAGACTGCTTTGAATCCAGATATGTCCAAATGCCCTCCAGGTGAGCGAGGTTGTTTCAGTTGGTCAGCGGCTTTGTGCTGTCAAAGTTGATAATAATATTAATAATGGTAATAATTTTGAGGTATTGAAGAATCGAAAGAAAATCGTCCCCACCAAGTGGCGCCTTTTGGACTCGTACGGAATGCCAACGAGGAAAAGCAAAGGAGGCTTTGGCTTATGCAGCCACAAGAGCTTGTTATATCACAGGCAGCCCAAGCTCCAGCTGTGAGATGATCATCTTGCGCAATAACAGTCATGGCGGAATTATATTTCTGTATAATTTGTATGGGAATGTTTACGACCGCTTTAAGGAATTAAAAAGTATACTTGCACAGCGTATCACCTATTATCTGACCGCTTACTTTGATTAAAAAAAAACCATTTCAGCGAGTTGTCCATTTCGAGGTTTTCCACGTACATGAGAAAAGGGCTTTTCTCATCTCTTCGCTGATTTATTTATTTTAATTCCTTAAAGCGATCGTAAATATTCCCATACAAACTCTTATAATTCCGCCATGACTGCTATTGCGCAAGATGATCATCTCACAGCTCGAGCTTGGGGCCGCCTGTGGTTATCATCGTTTCTGAGTGGAGATGCCCCATTGTTTTTACTGGAAGTTAGTGTCATTACACCGCTGACTAATAGAAGGATTTCGGTGGTCTTACTAAGGGATAAACTAGAGATTCTCCTCTGCAGTGGCCTTATGCGCAACTCCCCAAAGAAGGAATGCAAAGAAGACCACTTTAACGACCCTAACTCGGTTTTCACGCAGTTTTTCGTGCCTCCATTTATCGCTCTGCCCTTTGTTTCCTTTTTAGCGGACTAAGAGAGCAACAAAAAGAGGCTGCTCTCATTCCAACCTCTCCCAAGCGTCCTCTAACTTTCATGGAAAAAAGTCAGAGATGTGTATATTGATTAGTATTTCCCAAATTTTAGTACCTACGTCAGATCCTTCGCTGAGCTGTCCGAAAAAGTGCTCCAGTTGCAACAATGGAGTGTGCCTTGTTTGCGAAAGGAGTTTTGCTTTAGTTACTGGACGTAAGAATAAAACAGCTTGTATTCCCTGTGCTACTGGGAGAAACGGTAAAAGGATTGACAAATCACAGTGTGACTCAGGTAATTCCCCGTTGTACAATTGTGCGCTTGATCCTGTGGTTATACTCTGTTTGGGCCATGAGAGCTCTGCATAGCTCTGATATGGTATGAAAGAAAGATTTATCTAACTCCTGAAATCTTCGATATACGCTATTTTTTAATCTTTTCAGGAAGTTGTGGGAAAAAATGTCAAACATGCACAAATGGAACGTGTACAGAATGTGCAAACGGGTTTGAACTGCACCGAGACAAGAATATGTGCAAAAAGATAAAAGGCAAGTTTAAGATCGCTGTTCTCATTGAAAACTTGTGCTCAACGAAATGTATTCCTTCACGATGTAAGTTATCTCTGTCTTTAAGCATCAATTCATGTCACATTCTGACCTTTTACCCTCAGTGTTTAGAAATTTCCTTTAGCGCCTACTCTTCCGTGGTTATTCATGGATTTAAGAAACTGGCCATACTCTTCCTTTCCACGAAGAGTAGCAATGTAACGCATAATTGAATGACATTTTGTTCGATCTCTTCCATCTTTACTTTTATTATTTATTTACAGATTGTGGACATGGCTGTAAGACTTGCGTTTCAGGAGTATGTTCCGAGTGCAACGAGGGCCTGGTTTTCGGCCGCAAATCAAGACGCTGCGTGAAAGCTTGTTCACGAGCAGACCCCAACAATAAAGCGCAAGCCTGTGAGGGAAAACGTAAAGGAAAGGAACGAAAAAAGAACGGGAAAGGCAAGTTGACTGCACTAACTTTTAAGAACGTTGAACAGAACACCTGCTCAAGGCAGGATTTCTCAACCTTTTTAGCTCTTTCATCGGCAACTTTTTCGCTCCTTATCAATTTTTTTTAGATTAAATCACTCTTTGTATTCCACTTCTCCTGGATTTGACGTAAATATTTTCTGAGCGATCGCGAACATTTCGTTGAGTTCGAGTGCACGCCTAATTATTTGGTCGGTTGAACACTAAAATATTCAGAATAAAAGGTAGTTCTTGAAACTGAGGAATTTCAGCATTCTTTACCGATCAGAAAGTTGCTTATAATTCGAAGTTTTCAACAGGTTTTAAGCTCAATTTTGTTTCTATTGTTTTCACACATAACACACAATGAAATTGTAAATGACAACAATCATTGATCATCTGTTTATAATATCATGTCCTTTGTTCTCAAAATGTAACACTACGAGTCCTGGGCTCAAAGCAAACACTGAGTGGTATTTTCTTGTCTGTTAAACAGGAGGCAAAGGAAAACCAAACCGAAAGACGCCACCGAACCCAACACAGCCCACAGCTGAGCCGCACTAATATACAAGCTAACTTCAAAAAATAACCGTAATTACTCATCTGACCAAGTGTAAACTCAGCGTAACCGAGTACTGCTAGTGTGGACAGGCTATCATTTGAGGATAAGAAAACCGCGTATTTTCAAACACTCGATCACTGAAAACCCTTTCTCTTTTAATTCAACTCCTTCTGTAGTGTATAATTAGACTATAGTGGTGGGGCATCTTTTATATTCCACAAGGATAGTCCAAAAAAATCCGCAAATATCAAAACCCACCAAGTGTGTGTGCTATTCAGTTACCACACTATTATTTCTCATTTCATCTTGACGACATCCTGTCCACACGCTACCTTCTATTACCTTTTCAAACATGTAATCATTGATCAAATCTTACATTTATATTTTACACTGTGTAGAGGGTTGCATTCAGGCGTTTGAGAACAAAGGTTGGAATAATTTGTTCAATATAGCCTTTTACAGTTTTTTTTCTCTGAAACTTTGTAGAATTTTATGCTTGAGTGCCTTACGCATCTCGTTTAAGTATGAATATAGAACTGACGATGATATACAGAGTCTATTTACAGAGTACAGAGTATGAATATAGTTCGGGGCTGTCTCAAGTATTATGTGCTTTTTAATAAAGCTTTTTATAAATTTTCCACAGTTTGTTCGTTTTCTCTTTCGCAAATTTTGGGAGGACTCGTAAATTCACCCGTGTTGAAATCTATAACATCCTAACACTTTAAACGAGTCTACAAGAACGCACTTTTGAACCGTTGAACTCACTTACTTGTGTTTGTAGAGATATAAGAAGAAGCAAAGAGGAAGTTTTATTTTTTACTTCAAGGGCAGTTTATGTGGTGTGGGACACAGTTACCATTATAATTCATTTCTGCGAAGACCCTTATCTACTTTAGGGACTCACTGAGAGACACTAAATAGGGAAAGGGACGCGTTTTGGACCAGGACAAAATTTACCTTCCATATTTGTGTCCACTCTCATTTTAGCTGAAAGCAAACAAGCACTAAGATGGAAAAAAAGGTGTAAGAATTACTGAATTTGTACGACGATCAGTGATAGTCAATCAGAGGAAACTTCTGAATCGAAGTTGTGGGGTATACTCTACTCTCAACCGTCAAATCCTTTTTTTATTGTTTCTTTCACTTTTTATTCTTGTGGCCCTTTTAGTGAACCCTATGAGCGATCAGCCTCTTATTTCTCCTTACAATATCAACCCCTGAGTCAAATACTAAGGTCAGGAGAAAAAAGGAAGTGATCACCAACTGAAGAAACTCTTGACTAATTCTCCTTAGAAAATGTATAGATCAGGCCCCGGCTGTTCGAAGGTTGGGTAACGCTATCTGCTGGATAAATCTCTACCTGGTGGATAGTGTGGTATGTTTTACCACCATTTATCAGCTGGATAGCGATTTATATGTTGGATAACCTTATCCGACCTTTATAAAACTGGGCCCAGGGTAATAAGATGCAAAAGGTAACAAGACATATTTATTTCTTCCAGGAATTACTTAACTATGTTCTACCTCGTTGAAAATCACCTTCAGTCCGTCCAAAAAGAAACCTATTAATTGCCATAACATTGTTCTCCCTCGCAACATTTACCTTTGATTTTTCTAACGAGTCCAACGACAAAGTTGGCCAGCTGGGAAAGAAGGTGTATCGAGGAGACATTTTCCCTGTCTTTCGATGTACCTTCATCTTTTCGTGAAAGATACAATCAGTACGCGTGTTTAGGATCTCCTCGGATGTGAACAACCAGCTGTGGTAGCAGCCAACGTACCTTTCCCATATCTGTGAAAAGGGCATCGTCAACTCGAATTCAACGAAGATTATTAAAATAAACCTTCTACCGTGTGGAATCATTTTTAACAGTATACAACAATCTCGCCATCAATGAATGGGCCTGTAATCGCTGCTTGACCAGTTACAAAGTTTCAATCAATTTAGGTGCTGTATTTCGTGCACGTTTTTGGGGTTGTAGTCGTCTGTCTGATCAAATTCTCAGAAGAATCATTTCTACAAATTTAGGAAATGATTGGAGACGTGACAAAATAGATCAGATATCTTCACTAATTAAATTATATCCTGCGAGGTTTTTTTATGACGGAAATAAAGTTGTGAAAACGTGTGAGCATTTACGAGGGCGTTCAAATCTTTTATGACATCACTAAAGAAAATTTCGCGAAAGGCACGTAACAAAAGGAGATAACCTGCTGTTTTGCGGACGTGAAGAGCCGGTTGACACGTGCGAATTCTATTGTTTCTGGATAATTCGCGTATAAACCAGCTCAAGTAACATGAAATAAAAGGGGTTCTATTTCGTGCTGAAGCATAGTAGATCTCCTCGCACTCTTGGATATAACTTCAGCGAGAATATCATTATGAAGGGCGTTTTGGTGGCTTTCTTGCTGTTGGTTGTGCTCCTTTTAGTTACAGTTGATGCCAAAAAGCGTGGAAAAGAGGGATCAAGACGGAAGAATGGGATAAAGCTGGGTATGAAAGGTTAGTTTGAAATCGAACTAAAAATGTGTTGTTTTATTGCATGTTACGTAATTTCAATCACAGAAATCCTTCCTCAATCGAAGTTGATTTTCCTCACTCTTATTTGTATTTTGTAGAATTAACATGCCCCAGGAACTGTTCAGACTGTGAAGAGGGGATATGTCTAGAATGCGACGACGGTTTTGCTCTTAAAACGTTTCGCAACAACAGAACAGGGTGTATACCGTGTGGCCGACGTCTTAAAATGAAGGATCCTGCTTCATTCCTCCAACAATGCGTCAACGGTAGGTTTAAAGATGGGTCGTTAATAGCCAAATCTGACCATTCTACATTTATAACTCGACAGGTAGTTTCTTTGAAAGATCCGTTACTGTAACGGTATACTTGTAACGATATACTTTACCTCAACATACATCCTATATGATTACATATATCTTTCCTCAAAAAACGCCTTGAGCAGACGCGCACGTCCCAAACACTTATTTGCACTTTTCTACACTTGTCTGTGCCGATAATTCACCTTCTGATATATCGATCACTTTATAGTACATCCCGGGAATACGTTGCTTTAATATTTTGCATTATATGTTCTTATTTACTCAGATTGTTCCAGAAACTGTTCAGCTTGTGATAATGGTAACTGCCAAATGTGCGACCCTGGATTCTTCAAAGTTCAAACGAGACTTTTAAAAAGAACGGTTTGTGTTCCTTGCGGTCCTCGAATGAAAAGAAATTGGCCGGACGTTTTCGTGAGGGAATGTAAAGAGTCCGGTAAGTAGATCACTTAGTTTCAGATGAGGTCATAGTCTAGAGCGATCTTCGCAACCCTTTTTTTTCACCCCATATAACCTGAGCAGGGTTCACGTATGTTCTGTGGTGTATTCCTCGAAACATAAGGTTTTAACTGTGGGCCTAGATTTTTTACCGTTCGTGCCGGTATGTTTTTACTTGACTAGATAAATATAGTAAACTTTGCCACCTAGCTTGGTGTAAGCTGTTGAAACTACGAGAAGCTAATAAGAACACAAAAGCACACGATTGCTTTTTTGAAATGATTTTTTTGCACCGTGCTAATCTTCCTGTTGAATTCAAAGTATTGGTTTTGAAGCAAAGGAAAAATGCAAAAAAGAGCCAAAACAAAGATGGATTAGATCAGAATGGATTACGAATGACGAACCGAGGTTGATTTTCCTCACTCTTATTTATATTTTGTAGAATTAACATGCCCCAGGAACTGTTCAGACTGTGAAGAGGGGATATGTCTTGAGTGCGACGACGGTTTTGCTCTTAAAACGTTTCGCAACAACAGAACAGGGTGTATACCGTGTGGCCGACGTCTTAAAATGAAGGATCCTGCTTCATTCCTCCAACAATGCATCAACGGTATGTTTAAAAATCGGTCGTTACTAGCCAAAATCTGACCATTCTACATTTATTACTCGACAGATAGTTTTTTTGAAAGACCCGTTACTGTAACGGTATACTTGCAACGATATACTTTATCTCAACATACATCCATATGATTAAATATATATTTCCCCAAAAAACGCCTTGAGCAGACGCGCACGTCCCAAACACTTATCTGCACTTTTCTACACGTGTCTGAGCCGATAATTCACTTTGATATATTGATAACTTTAATGTACATCCAGGGAATACGTTGATTTAATATTTTGCATGATATGTTCTTATTTACTCAGATTGTTCCAGAAACTGTTCAGTTTGTGATAATGGTAACTGCCAAATGTGCGACCCTGGATTCTTAAAAGTTCAAACGAGACTTTTAAAAAGAACAGTCTGTGTTCCTTGCGGTCCTCGAATGAAAAGAAATTGGCCGGACGTTTTCGTGAAAGAATGTACAGAGTCCGGTAAGTGTGTCATATAGTTTCAAATGAGTTCATGGTCTAGAGCGATCCTCGCAAGCTTTTTTACCCTATATGACCTGAACAGGGTTCACGCATGTTCTGTGGCGTAAGCCAAGAAACAAAAGCTGCAGGTTTTACCTATGGACCTAAATTTTTGACCGTTCGCGCCAAAGTCTTCGATGTAAGTAAAGAATCGCTATTTGTACTCGACTAGAGAAATAAAGCAAATATTGGCCACCTGGCTTGTTAAATGACTTTTTTGCGCCGTGCTAATCTACTTGTTGAATCCAAAGTATTGGTTTTGAGGTAAAGGAAAAATGCAATAAAGAGCCAAAAGAAAAATGGATTAGATCAGAATGGATTGCAAATGGCAAACCCAGGCAGACGAGTGAGGTGTACTTTCTTTGGACTCCGTAGGTTGTGGACGAGGATGCGCTAACTGTACCTCCCCTGGCCTTTGCACCGAATGTGAAGGAGACCAGAAGCTTTTTACACCACCAGGCAGTAACATCACAAGATGTGTTCGCAGATGTCCGCTATTTTACAAGCTGGAGAAGGGCGCGTCACCTCCAACATGCGAATTCCAGCATAAGGGAGGAAAACCAAACAGACAGAACGGTAGTAAGTGATTGTTTCAGATTGTCGATTTGAGTGAAGAGATCAAGAGAATATTATATACTTTTGATGGTTCTACTGTACTTGTCAGATTTGTAAATCAATAAAAATATCTTCTGGGTAAGTTCATGTAGCTTATCAGCACTACTGGTATTCGACAGCACTGCGAAGGAATGCCAGAACCTCTGCGTAAACTCAGCTGACTGTTAGTTTCTTCAAATATGCACATCCATTTAAGCATGTTCTCTTTTTTCATCCTTTAGAGTGTGGAAGAGGCTGCGAGCAATGTACAGAAGAAGGAGTTTGTGAGAAGTGCTTTAAAGAATTGCAATTTTTAAAACTACGCGATCGCACAATTTGCGTCCGAAAATGTCCATCAACTTTAAGAAAATATTTCGACCCAGAAACTAACAAAATGATCTGCGGGAATCTACGCCGTGGCAAAAAAGGTAACTGAGCAAAATGATAGTTCAGTTTCTTCGTTTTTTTTCCTTATTACGAAAAAGTCGTTGATGGCCAAAATATGAAAACTCGTAGGAAATTGGTCGATGTAAAGCCATTTCCATGCAGGTGTCATCCCATAGACAACGCAACCAGTTCGCTTGGATCCAGTTTTAAAACTGACATAAAAATTATTTTTACAATTTTCTTTTATCTTACACTCTATTTGTTTTGTTTCTTTGAATGCATTGTCCATCACTAAGGCTACACACAAAACCTAATTATTCCCGTTCTTTTACTTTATTCATAGGAGGAAGAAAGAATCCTTTGCTGTCCGACATTTAAAAGGCAGGCCTTTTGATCCTGTATACTTTTTTCTAAGGGTGTTTTTATCAAGATGATAAAACTAATTTAACATTTTCCTTACTGACAAAAGCTGCCAGGCAAATGTCGTTGGAGGTCTTGGCTACTAACAGAAAGAAGTTGGCATAAAGTTAAAGTCAAGCAAAATTACAACCCCCTCACTTGTTGTTTTAGTTTGATCAAAATAAAACTCTCAACTACAAGGTTTAAATATATTGATTACATCCTAGCTCAAGAGGTATTTTTTTTTCTAGCGTTAATGTATTTTCTACTCACTTGTTAATTTTTCTATAATACGCATTCCTGCAAGAGAATTGTCTAAAAATTTGTTGACATTTGAGTATCTTGTAAACCACATCAACTAAAGATACATGTGAGTACTGCAGGTGATATTAAAGGTGACGAACAACACACTGTAACTAAGTTTTTCTATGTTTGTACCATATTAACAGCCAAATAAATCGTATGAATAGCTGAATGCAGTTGTGTTGGTTAGCAATACCCATAACTACCTATAGCAACATTATTTGAGAGTTTTCTGAGGTCACCCTCGCTGGTCACGTTATAAAGACGATAGCGTGAGTCAAATAATTAACGCAAGTTTGGTGAATCCTACCCTGTAACCACTTCGAAACTTCTCCTACTGGCCTTTCCATGAGTTAAAAATTCCACCTGGGAACGACGGAAAAGAAATACGCTATTCTCTTCGAGAAATTATCCGTATCCACTCAAGCATCTGAACCGTTCGGTGAAGAATCTATTATTCAATTTTGTAAACTACGTAGTGGCTGGTACTGGGCAGTGGGCACAGTCCATGCAAAGCTGTAGTCCACTGTCCAAAGAAACTTAGCCGCTTCCAGCATATTTCCTACCCCGTCTTTACCATAGAAATTCCATCCAGTCAACATTTGGTGGGTCATAACTGTTAAATATCCTGACCAAATCATAACAGTTTAATAGGATTCTTCTCTTGCGGCAAATGATGTCCGGTGTAATCGTTCTTTAGCACTCTGTTTGGCTGTCGTTCCAGTGTTGTTTTAATGTCTTTGAGCGGTTGTCTTGTGCAGACGATAGTTATGATCCAGAATACCACAAACAGGAAAAACAAAAGCGCAGAAATATCAATCGCCGTCGCTAATTCAAGAGCGACCATGTTGACAGACGAAGAACGTCCTAATATGTAGGAGCGGCTACCAAGCTCTCACTTTTGCGTGACTGAAAGTAAGCTTACACGACCTTACGATTTGTGAACAAAGTGAACATAATACTGACGATGACTAAATATATTTTTTTAGGTAACGTCTTGTAAGAGATATTTAAAAGTATTATCCTGATCTCAAATTTGAAGAACGAAATGGATATCTTAGAGAATTTTCTGTGAGATCCATTTAGCATCACCATAACAACGGAAACTGTAACGCAAGTGTAACATGCCAGTGTCTCATTTGTTATCAAGATAGGTCGTCGTTCGTCATTTCAACGCCAAACGCTCTACGGGAATCGTGTGACAGGTCCAATGCACTGAGCGGCCTTTCTAACTCATCTATTCCCCGTTTATAAGCTACATCTTGGCCGTTTTAACATGGGACTTGGCCATGGATCGTCAAGAAGAACCGAGGTCTATAAGACGAAGAATTATGCGCAACAGCATATTCATTTTTGTCGGATTTGTTTTGATTGTTCTCTGTTTCGTTTTCTTGGGAATCGCACAGCAGCGCCAACATATAACCTCAGGACACTGTAGCGACTGTAACAGCAAAAACACTCCCAAGATATTTCGACTTCTAGCCGCGATTTGTTTTGTAGTTGGCTCGACAATAATGACAATTTTTTGGTGGCACATCAGAGCGATGAGAAGTTCTTTGATAATGCGCCAAAGACACATCGACTTGGAAGGATTATTAGCAAACCACAATCAAACAGGTAGAAGAACATGTAGAGCATCTCTTGGAAAGAGAAACTGCGGTTGAAAACTTATACAAACGGTTGTGGATGTTGGAGAACGTGACGAAAATCACACTTGCTTAATTTGGAACGTAACATATGTCAACCATCTAATTGGTTATTAACTAATGTATGCATGCTTGCATATATTTCGATGTGGATATTATAAAAATGTCTCACAAGCTTGTTTACTTTGGTTCAGACCTTTAAGATCAAGCATTGGGAGTTCTCAGTGTATCTCCGTAACACAAGTAGAGTATCCGAACGCGAAATTATAAATGGCTTGTACTGGAATCCTTACAGAATTTCCATTTACTTGCTTTGTCCTATTTGCGAGACAAATATGCGATTTTCTTCTCTGAGCTGTAAATGATTTTAGCCGTAAGGTGTTTGTTGATTATTTCTCCGTGGAAAAAGAGTTCTCGTTTTTCGGGGGTATAAAGACAATAGGCAGATCATGGGGAAATATTTTAGCGAAATAATTTTTTTTAACGAATTAGCTATGTTCGTCGCGAAAGTTAAATTTTTTTTGAGGCGAATTTTTGTTCAGTTGCTCTGAAGGACAAGTAAACACACACACACAAAAGAAAAATTGGAATTTTGCGATTAAACCTCGAAAACAAAGAAATAAACTTATATTTGTGGTTGATTTATATTGTAAGATATTAAAATTGTTATACCTGATTTGAGGTTTTTTTTTTTTTTTAATCGTTTGCTTATTTTCTATTGATTCATTGATATTTCCTCACCATTGCACGAATCTTGTAAGACAGAAGCACGTTCTCTCGAATGCCCGTGCGCGGATCTCGCGGGATTCTTGTTCTCCCCGCCGATCGAGCGCGACATGATATAAATAGGTTTCAAATTTCAAGGACGCCAGACAGGAATTTTCCATGCTCTGGCGCGTTCGACTCGCCACGAACATTTGTGTCTTTTAAAAACGATATCATTCTCTTGGATCCATCTTCCAGGCCAATGGAATCTGACCAATGATTTCCTGTCAACTACGAAAATTCAAATCGTCTTTTGGATGAACTAATGGATATGGAAATTCGCGATCAGAACTCTTAAATTATCAATAGGGACGAAAGACGTAGAAATTACGCGAACATTTCAACGTGAAAAATGATTTTAGCGGATGGGACACTAGCCATTTACATTGCCGCTGGCTTAGCTGGATTTCTCGTACTACTGTGGTGTTGTGCTTTATGCGTTTGCAAGGGCCCTTGTCGGTCACTCAACGAACCAGTGAAATCACCTTTCGAAATGCATATGGACCCTGCGTCCAGAGACACCGCATTACGAAACAAGTATGAAGCGTATCATTATCATCTGATGGTAAGTCATGGAACATTTTAACTGTCTCGGTGTTTATTTCTCTTAAAACATTTCATAGAAATATATTTTTTTTCGAAACGAGAAGACATTTGCGTTCGTACTCCAGAGACCAGCGCGAGAAGCCAATTCATGCTGTTTATTTTATCTGATAACATTTTAACTTATTCTCTCAGCGTGATGTTATGATAGACAATATTCTTAGACACGATAAATGCAAATTTGTGTTGAACACGGCATATCATATAGTCATTTCTTTCCAGAGAAAAAGTCGATAAAGAAAACGCTTTTACATATGAACTAGCAACATAAAATCAAAACCTTGCATGCAAATAATTATTCTAAAAAGTCTCAGCGACGACAAGAAGAGCTTTGTACTTTCATGAAAATAGACAGCGCCGGGGGCTCATTTTTCAGCTTCGATTGCAATATAAGCGTAACGTCGCGCTTAAAACTTGCTCCATGTATTCAGAAATCATTAAGATGTAAATTAGATATTTAGCGGGCAGGGAAGGTTCGAGTTCCGGAAGCAAAGTCACTGAAAGAGACGGAAAGGTATTTTGTATTTAGTCAAGAATAATTTGCTCCATCAACCTGGCGAAAATGTATGATTTAGGAAAAATGTAGTCACAGTTATGGACATCCAATAGCTGGTTACTCTCGCCAAAACATACAACGAATTATTTGCAGGAATCAGTAGATTGTTGCTTTTTTCCGTGACATACAAATATAAAATACCTAAAACCATCTGTCTGGGAGGCTTAAGGGGTTGAATAACCTTGCATCAGCGATACCTTTTGAATCAGTCAACAATTCCTTATTCCCTCACTAATTAGCCTTCATACAGGCATCCCTTAAACCAACTGATAGGAAATAGTGACGTTGGATGAGCGTTTTTTTCATTTTTTGCCCTAGTTCTTTCGCGTTCAACCATCAATCTACACGAAAAAACTTTAAGAAGGAAGAGTAGGAGAGCATGTAGTGAATGGGGGCGGTTTCCATTTAATTTTTTCAAATATTTTAATTCCACATTTCACGTTCAATCATTAAGGGGCCTTATGATAAGTTATTAGCAAAAAGAAATATATACAGGATTTTTCAAACGTTTTTAACTTGTTTGATTCCGCATCAGAATACACTGACTATCATTGTAGTTTGATGTGCAGGCATTCTGCGCCATGGAGTACAGTCGAAAACGAATATACAATTTTTTCAAATTCTCAGCCTTAAGAGTGATTTTAGTATTAACATGAGCGAATTATATTAATTTTTCTTTAGACACCAAAAACCCCAACTCAACAGCACCAAGTTAAGTTGCCTATACAATTGGTTCCCACACCAATTTCACAGGGAAGTGGATCACCGATTGCATTTGACTTCGGAGCTGTCTTGAAGATGCAGGCTGCGGACAAGGCGAACGCTAAAACAAGGGATAGTCAAGTCAGGGATCCGCTGATAGATAAAGAACAAGGAGATTCGTCGTCTGATTCAAACAACGAGAACGTCGAACTCAAGAAATTGAACACCATTACGGTGGATGTACAAAGCACAGACGACAAAAAATCGGACAAGCCTCTAATACAGGAGGAAAACAACCTTTGAGATTTTATTAACTAACCGTGAAGAAATCATGAACAGTTTCTTCGGTGCTTGTGGTTGAGAAAGTTGTCATCATAGACGAAAAGAAAAGTTTGCTGAAAAAGTGTGATCCATTGGAGAAACAATTCAATTGAGAATGCTAGCTATTGATATTGTTTTACTTATTCTTCGTTGACGTTATCTCGTCCGTGACAAGTATCAATGTTTTAGCGGCTTCGTGCTTGTCATACAGAGAACCCCCAGTTTGAGCGGACAGATCTATTCTAATTCGGTCTAAGAAATTACTCAAGAAATCCTCTTTAAATATTCATGTTTCTGCTTATTTAAATGTGAGGTATATATAAGTGTCTGATGTGTGATCATAATAATGATAAAAAAGAAAATTGTCGCCACAAATTTTACGAGCATGGTGCGATATACTGCTTTTAAATGCGATCCTTGTCATTTTGTCTCTCTTATTTTTCGATCTTGATCACTGTACAGTGAAAATCGTCTGGAACCCTTGAAAGATTGGATTCGCTAATTTTTTACCGCCAAATTGATTTTTTTTTTAAGTTAATGCGCTAATTATCATAGTTTACATTTTGCACCCTCTAAACATGGACTGGTAAATGATGGAAGACTTACTCTTATTTAAGTAAAAATAACAAAACACTTAAAACTCTTTCGCGAATTTTATCACTGGGAAAGAGTCGAATACTTTATCAAGATTAGACTCTTTAGACATGCAATATTGCACACAGTTATGACTGTCCTCCAAATATCATAATTTCCAAGATGTGCGTCAAAAAACACGGAAGTATTCTGCTCCCAAGGGCAGCATTCAAGATTCTTAAATGATGATTACTGCTTGTCTTAAAAATGTAACTGAAATGCAATCTCTAATCAAACTGACTGTAGTACCATGCAAATAAATCACTAAGAAAGTATTTGTAGAGGGATAGATTTCATTGAGTGCATGAGTAAAATAAAGCCGAACTGCTCCTTAGAAACGGAAATCCATAAGATGTTTTCGACTATGAGTCTCAAACACTAAAAGAGAATTTCTGAATGTTCTACACAATTTTATTACATTTGTGGAAGCTTATTATGATTGCTGGTGTCCAGCAAAGCTGGTAGCCTCGCATAATAAAAGTAAGCACCCATACACACATGCATCTGGAAAAGTGCCCACAATCTCAAACGTAATAGCACAGCGTTTTAGATTGTTTTCCAGACATGTTTTCGGTCAAGATTTGGCACACGTTGCGTACTCTACACAAATACTGTAACCATGACTTTTAAATATATGGTTATCAAACTAGTAAAGTATATTTTCTATGTCACCAATAAGAGTAAAAATATCACACATACACGAGCTGTTATTGTTTAAAAAAAAAAAAAAGTCACAAATCTAAACAATATATTTTTCTAATGAAAACATCACACTAACCTTGAGCTAAGCAATAATTGAGTTGTTTTTGTTGAGAGGGTCACTGGTATACACAAAATATGTTTTTGCATGTGTCTTATTCGCTTGCCCCTACTTGACTTACGCAACGATTGATATCGGCTCACGCGCTGGCGCGTGAGGTATTTACGAAAAAAAAATGCATGAATCGATCAGCAGCTTGGGTAAGAACCGACTCGAACTTGAGTACGTATCGACTCAAACTTAAGTACTGTCTGCATTTAAGGACGAAACGAAAGGGTACGAAACGACCGGACACCGACGCAAATATTCTTAAGGTAAACAAGCACAAGAAAAGTGATAAGATTGCAGTTGGTTTTCGTTTCGCATCTGATTGGAAAAGAAAGTGGCGCGAGCTATCTGGATCAATCATGGAAAGTAATGAAGAATAACACCGCAACCCTACGTTTATTTCTTCACGAAACAGAAAATTGCTCTGGAATCAGGACTGGGTTGCAAGCCCTATCAGTAATTTAAGTCCCTTTGGACGGACTGTCAGCATTGGCACGGCTTCAACCTTACATTCGGGAGCCTCACTGACCCAAAATTTCTTCATCAAAGTAGCCAATATCACTTTCATCTCCATCAAGGCAAATTTGTATCCAATGCACATGCGCGAACCCACCCCAAATGGAATGTGTGTGTAAGGTTTCACGCCTGTTCGGCCCTCTGAAAAATTAACAAAAGAAACTTAAGGACTTAACAAACCACTCACCACATAGCAACGGTTTAAAAATCTCATTAACTAAGCTGTCATTAATTCCTTAACTCTTACCTTCCTCATCGAATCTTGTGGGATCAAAGTCGTCGGGATTTGGCCAATATTTGGAAGTACGCTGTAATGAATCAATGGGCAAAATCATAACTGTATCCTTGGGAATAAGATATCCCCCGATAGTTATATCTTCAATTGGAGAACGGCCTGTCACGTGAGCAGGGGGGTGGCGCCGCAGCGATTCTTTAATGACTTTTTCAAGGTACATGAGATTTTCAACAGTATCCCATGTCAGCTCAGTACCATCATACAACACAGAGTTTATTTCTTCTCTCAGTTTTGCTTGGATTTCAGGGTTCTTTGCCAGCTCATAGAGGGTCCAAGCAAGAGCGACACTGGTAGTCTCGTGGCCAGCCACCATAAAGGTGAACACCTAAAGGATAAATTGGAAGAGATTTATAAGGAATGAAATTAATGCCTCGTCGGTCATTGAGAAATATTTCGATTTGGCTCAAACGTGAGGTAGGGAAGAAACCCGAGTCCCCGACGACGATTTCAATCTCAAATCTAATACAATGAAGATGCTTCTGAGCCGCAGAAAACTTGCAGGGTTTATGCTAGAAATTCAGGCCAGAGAGTGTTCAGTAGGATCCCCTTCTTGTTTACTTTTTTTCAAATTTTGAGAATCCATATTTCAAGAAGGGGGCCCAAGACAGCGGGTATTCCAATATATGTTGTTTCAACGTACTTGCAGAGTACTGACAGTGAGAAAAAAAAAGAGAATGGCAATTGAGACAGAAAGAGGCTTTACTGCCAAGTACATTTTTGAATACTTTATCAAATAACGACCCCTTAAGAAAAGTACTTATGCTGGAAACAATTCTTTGAGCTACTTTGAATGCCTTGTTGTAAGTTTATGCATCAGACACTTTTGTAACGGGATGAGTGACTATATTTATACAATCTAATGTGTTACCTGGCCCTCCTAACTCTTTCCTAAGACATTTAAAGATGAAGTTACTGGGTAGTTCTAAAGCAGAGTCGTACTAGTATTCATTCCATTCATCAAATTAACAAAAACAGCGTTGCACAACCAAACCAAATAACAACAAAGAAAAAAAACAAAACAAAATAAACTTTTTTTTGCAGCAATATAGCCTTAATTTATAATTTGTTGTTGTTGAAATGATAATTCAAGATATGTAATTTCTGCACCTGACTCCTTAACTCCTCATCATCCATGACTGAATTTGTTTCCTGATCATACATGTCCATCAGAACATCAAGGAGATCTTTTTTCTCCCTCACAATTCCAGCTTTTTTCTCTTTGCGGCGCTCTTTGATCATCTTTTAAAGAGAAAAAAAAACCTGATAAATAAGAAATTTAAACAGTAATCTTTGCTTGACTTGAGTAAGAGAATTAGTCTGACTGAGGAAAAAAATAGGACTGGTTTAGTCATGATCAGGGTCATGCAATTTTCTAACAATTATCTAATACCTGAACAAAGAATTTTAATGTTAATTTCATTGTTGAAAGACCAGTTTGCAAATGCAAGGACCTATAGTTATACACCAAGTATTTTGCAATATTTTCCATTAAAATAACAGCAATGAGAGAAAAACATGTTTAACTTAATAAATATTTTTAAAAGTAGATAATATCTACTTTTAAAAATATTTATTACATAATTGAAAAATTAGGGCTTCTAGTGCACCTTAAGTTAGCTAATTCAGAGGTACTAATCAAACTACTTTTTGAATCCAGGCAGCAGAAGAGCAACAAACTTACGGTTTCACATTTGGCCATGGTCATGAAAGAAGTAGCCTGTCTGGGTTAGGCCACACAGATAATGCCTGTAAAACTTTTCCTCAAAAAGGTTCTACTGCCCTCTTGGGACTTCCTAAGACAACCTTGTTAAAAAATGTTTTCAATTTGGGGTTTAAAGTCATATGTGAAATTTCATAAGAAGTATGATACCTGGATGAAAAGAATCTGTTGGCAAGTCATTTCAAATTGAATTTGGTCACATTGCCTGCAAATGTTCCATTCCCAGAATGCATTCATTGATAATTAGAAATACCACACTTATGCAGGTACCTACCACCTGCAGGCAATCCACAAAGAACCCACAGGCATGCAAGGGATTTGTTGCAAAACTTTGCCAGAGCCTGGGGGATTAGGGTTTTTCAAGAAATACAGATTGAATAATTAAAAACAATTTAAGTAAGAGGCAAAATTTACCAGTACTGTAAAATTAAGAAAAATGCTGTAACATTTGCTGCATAATGACAAATTGAGGAATAATTGTCTCTATGAGTTCTACTTATATCCACTGGGAAGTGATGCAAGAGTTTTTAAAAGAATCTACTCTATGTGCACGGGCATTACTCTTTCCTAAAAATTCACCAGTGTGCTTATTTTACAATGATATGCTATATAGTATCAGATATACCTAATTTTTTTACTCGATACTTATTCAGTTTGAGTTCCTATCTGATATTGTAAATTTATTTCCTCTGTAACAGTAAACTTGTCCTATTAACAATATTACTCTAGATTATATTAAGTAATTTGTGAATGCTTATGTAATAGTGTTGTTTTACTTCTAACATGCCACCCATTCAAGCTAACTGTGGGTGTATGAAAACCTGTAAATATGAATTCAAGTAATAAAGTGTATGTATGTATGGTACACACTAAGAAAAAATGCCTTCACACATTTTTTAATGGGACTTATTCATGCATCCAACTATGAAGATGATCTGTTACATTTGTTAGTCCATAGAAAATGACCTCTCCCTTGCTCCATAAATAGGATTCAAGACTTTGATTAGAACTGTTTGCTGTCATATGTTACTTCAATTTTATTATTTTATTGGTTCAATCTGATTGATGTAACCCAAATGGCTATAGATAAGCTAAGGTTTACCTAATAAAATTCACCTCCACCTCAAAAAAAAAACTGTAGATAGCAACTCTAAACATTAGAATCTTTATATACTTACATCTAACACTGTGTTGTCAGCTATCTCTTTCGCAGTCTTGATTCTCCTGTTTTCGCTTGTTGGCAGGTACTCAAAAAAGGGAATAAATGTCTTGCCCATGAGTTGTCTAAAACTCATTCCACTAATGACCAAATCCACTGCTTCAGAAACCTTACTCTCCCCTGCCAACACAGTGTTGAAGTTATAACCAAATGCAGATTGACCAATCACATCCAGGGTTAAATGTGTCAAATCATCATGAACTTCAACAGGATCTTTCAGCTTGGTGGACCATAGCTGGAAGCAGAATAAAATCACATGTAAGTTCCAGGACAATTTGGTTATATTGAAAGAAAGGCTTCATGGCTATGAGCCAATTTCATTTGTGTGTAACAAGAATGTCCTCTTGATAAATCATTTATATACCATGTATATATTTGCCACTGGACAACCATGAAAACCAGAACTACCTGTCTCATGGATTGGGAAGTTGGCTACTCAACCAGCAACCCTGCTCCTTAGAGGGCATGGAGGGTGAAACTGGGCATCCTAACAGAACTAAAAACAATATTTGTCTTAAGGTCTGTGGTGGACCCTTCCCAGTTACACAGGGTGAGACTGGACTTCCTGGTAAACGATCAACACATCTGTCAAAAGGTCCATGATGAATTTTTGCTAGTCAGTGCATTGTGACATACACTACACAAAGAACAGAGATAAGCAAACCTATCATTTGGTCAGTCACTGCAACAGATATGGGAGTCAGTTTGTCTAGGCCTGTCCTTGCCACTGATAACACCTCTATCTGCCAAGAATGTGCTGCTAGTCCAGCAAAAGCTGGCAGTACTTAAAACTTTGCAAGCAGTTTCTTAAAATGGTCAATCAGAAAACTTGCATGGAGGAATCTGACCACACCTAAATGAAACAGTCATTGTTGCCCCTGACTAACTGCTGTGATGGCATATTTGTCAAAAGAATCTAGAAACAAAGTGGCTATTAATTATTAAAATTAAAAGCCCATTAGCTTGTTGAGAATATATTTTTGCTTAACCACTCACCTTAACAAGGTTATCAACATTTTCTTTGAAGATTCCCAAAAATCCTTTCAAGTATTTGGAAGTGAATGCAGGTCCAATCATTCTTTTCTGTCTAGCATGCACCTTGCCATTAGATGCAAACAAGCCAGCACTTATACTAGGAATATTTCTTGCAACAAAGTCAGGTCTGTAAAATTTATGGCTATTGCTTGCCACAAACTTGATGAGCTCAGGATCAGCTATGTACAGTAAACAGCCACCTACAGTAGCCAAAAAACAAGGTCAATTTAATCTTAACTCTTAATATTTTTCTCATGATGCTGCCTTACTCCTGATGCAGATGGCTATGTCACCACCACAAACTGCAAGGATTGGTTGGTTTTCACCAACTGTGAATAGCCTCTTATTTCAATCTCTCATGAAGCCTTTTTCCCGTGAATTGTTCTTCTCCTTGATAGTGATGTAGCGATACTCTGCACTGCCTATAGGTAAATGATCAATTAAAGTATATTGACCTTCTTAAGTGGAACCTGTAATTAGCAGTCTGCATAAGCGCGCTCACTCAGCAATCTCCGGGTGACCCAGGGGATGACCACACATCACAGATCATATTTAGGATGTATTTCGACCACGACGTCGAGAAATTAAGTGTCAAATATCACCTCGAACAGTGTGCGTGATTCCGGTATGCATGATTAAATTATTTATACACGCACAGAAGTTTGGTGATGCATCACATAACTCAGCAGCCTCTTATATTTTAAATTACCTACCTTTCCCTACTGCATAACCTTGATGAGAAACGAACATCGGTTCATACTTTTCACTCCAAGAGCGTAGCACCTCCAGTTGATTAGATCGGAGAAAAGTGAAAACATGGCCGATTAACGGCCATCTGCCTGGAGGACTTGGAATCTTCTGTAGCGGAGACATCTTTTCTTCCACGAATTTATAAGCAAGCCATACTATCACAGCTGCGAATGGCAACAACAAAATAGAGTTGGCAATAAGTGATAACTCCATATTTGAGAGATCGCTTACGCCTTTCTTCGATATTGCTTAAGTGACAATACAATTATTGTAAAATAACATCGCAAACGCACATCTACGTCAGTTGAAAACCGAAATATTGGCGCAATTTGCTTGGTTGTCCATATTGATCAGGGGCGGGGTCAGTCAGGCTCAACATAAACTTAGGGCTTATTTCTTATTATCGTTATATATTTGAGAGGAACATGAGCCTACTCACCGTAGTTTTATTTTTCATCGGAAGCTGCAAATATTATTTCCGAGTTTTTTTCTTTCCAACACGATCGCTACCTTGTAGATGTAATGCGTTTACTCGGATGGGAGCCATACAGGCGATCTCTCAAATATGGAGTTACACTTATTCCCAACTCTATTTTGCTGTTGCCATTCGCAGCTGTGATAGTATGGCTTGCTTATAAATTCGTGGAAGAAAAGATGTCTCCGCTACAGAAGATTCAAGACGATTCCGTGGGTGTGGTCCAAGTAAGCGATTGGAAATGCCCAGAAAAAAAAAAAGGTGCTTATATAAGCTTGGTGCCGGCTTCAACAGACTGTATAATTACATGTACTTCAGGGTTTACATTACTGCTCTCGTGAAATAAAAAAACAATATTTTCCAGATGAAAAATAAATTCAATATAAGGTTAAATATACCACATGTTGACGTTGCTCGAACGGAGACCGACCATGGTAACTACAAAAGCTGCTTAATAATTAACGGCATTCTCAAAATGTTAAAACTAACTTCTATATATTTTAGCATGATAAACTCATAGCATGATGCGTTCAAATGTACCTGGTAAACATGAAAGCGGTGTTAGGAACCTAACAATTGTGAACATAAGCGGTGTAAGGAGCTCGGGTTTAACTGTTATCCGGAAGATTCTCTGAATGAAACCGTCTTAAGCCGTGTCGCCAATATCACCTTCATCTCCATGACAGCGAGTTTTTATACAAAGCAGATACACGAACGAATTCCAAACAGAATATGTGTGGAAGGTTTAACATATGCTCGGACAGAAAAAATGTAAAGGGAGAACTACGTTGGGGTGCGTGAAGAGGAATTGCCTGAAGAAAACATAACAGACCATGGCACCTTACACCACGAAAAGGACTTGAACAAAATCTTACTAATTTTACTTGGCTTAAATGCCAATAAAATATATAAAAAATTAATCAGTTCTGATTGGCTAGTACAGAGTGCAGTTCTCATGTAACACAGGTGCAAATTTGTAACGCGGGCGCAAATTATACAACGTAATACTTTAAACCAAGTTGCTGTAGCAGCTGACAGTGAAATGAAAGCGCACTGTCATAATTTCACTTGATTTGACTTTACGTCTCTCTCCTTTTTTTTACACATATATCTTTAGTGAGTAATCACATAACGTTTTAATGCTATAAAAATTGTGCTGTATCAGTAGCCCCTTGTTAACTCTGAAAGTCCCTTTGTACCCAGTGCCTTGGGGGGCATTCCGTGCGAAGAATAATATAATTTTTTTGTTCACTGCTACAACCAGACAAAAAATTAAGGCTGTCTTGTTTCAACCATCATGGAAAATAATATTTTGGGTAAAACTACTAGAATATAGGGCCACTTATTTACTTCCTATTGAATCACAATTCATTCATTTGTGTTCTGCCTCGTTCCTCAACGCATGCCGATAAGCTGAACCTCAGTGGCCCAGTATTGTGTAGTTGCTCCTTCGATAATGTTGCCTTAAAATATTCATTAGAAGGTTTGAACGACTTTTGGTTACAAATAACCTCACCCTCTCCTAGAGGAAAGTATATTTGAGGTCGTCGACTATGGCGCTTGCGTGACTCATCATTACACTGCATTTTTAAATAACTTTCAGTTGTATTGCTTCAGGCTACAGCTTTTCGGTTTACAGTTTGGACTTCTAAAATGATATGGTCTGTAATAGGCGTTCTTTTTCTGACGTGGCTCTTGTACAAGCTGTTTAAAGACGAGTTTACTTCGTTGAGAAAAATTCCCAAACCCAGTGGATCTCTTCCAGTGTTTGGTCATGGGTTGACATTTCTACGACAGGAAAACCATGCGAAATTGCTGCAGGATTGGAGTGAAAAATACGGGCCAATTATCCGTTATAATCGAGGTTTTGGTAAGTACGGTGTTTGAAAGTTTTTTCAAGATGATCCAGTGCATACAAGTACAATTATTATAAAGGATCAACAAAGCCTCTTTCTTTCGCACTATCAGATATTGGTTCACTAGCTCGATGTTATGAGATCACCGAATTTTGACAAGTTTTCATCCTCTCCACCTTTACTGGGACATGTTGGGCCACTAGCATGTATTTTTGGCAATGTCATGCATAACTGAATTGGGATTGGATGAACGAGTGACCTTTGGGGATTTCAAACTTGAAAGATTTGTATCTGCCCCAGCTCCTACTTTCGAATCCCTTGACCTAATCTGACCCACCTGGTACCTTTTTGTCTCACTCCCTGTGTTTTCAAGAGATCATAGAATCAATGAACCCATTTAACTGAAGGTCTAACTCTGAACCGAACCATCAACCAAACTGCAAATGATAAGTGACCAAGAAAACTGTGCTAAGAAACATCCCTCTCACCAGTTGTGTGAAATGGCCATTTGAAAGTATTCATGAACTAAGACATCCTTGACTGTCAGTGAAATTACTTTATGTTTTCATACATACACCTTTTCGTTAAATTTCTTTTAGGGGACTCTAGAGTCCTCTTGACAGATCCTGAGCTGATCAAATATGTTGTCGTGACAAATGCAAAGAACTACAGGCGGTCAGAGTTTGTTCGACAAGTTCTGCCCAGCATTGGTAATGGTTTATTTTCCTCCAATGGGAAGGATCATGCATTTCAACGGAAATTGATCACCCCAGCATTTCATTTCAGCAACTTGGTTGGAATGGTTGAGCATTTTGAAGATGTTGCTCACAATTTAGTACAGGTGAATCTTACTTTTAACATTTTGAACTTGATAGGTTTGAGTGCAATCATTTGACCAGTATGTGGGAAAAACTGACAAAAATTGGTTCTTATTCCAGGTTGCATGAAGGGAGGTAGGGGAATGGTTCCTCTGTATAAGATTTTAGCCAAACATACTATGCTGGTCTAAAAGTGGGTGTATACTTTTACCTTTATGGTCTTAAATTGTTTTTTTAAAAAGGAATTAACACTCGAGGCTAGAACTAGAATCAAACCTTGTTTCCACTGAAATTGTTCGCCAAGTAATTATTGGTCCATCAACTGACAGAGAGTGATTGTTCAACTGTTTCCTTAAGTGTTAAGTGCACAATTATACTGCTTCAAACAGAATTCTGAGACAAGGATTTGTAGGAGTGGTGATAAAGGAGGACTTGCAGTAAAGTACATAACAGAGTTTAATCCTTTAATCCTAAAAGTGACTAGCATCTAATTTCTCCCAACAGTATCACCCCTGATTTACATATTAAGGTCACAAGAATAGAGGAAATGATCACCAAATAAAGAAGCTCATGATAGTTAAATGAACTTTCCTTGTCAGCACCTTGGGAAATGTAAAGGGAACAGTATAGAGAATGTGCATACTGATTTTAGGGTGTAAAGGGTTAATTATCCAGTTTTAATTAATTTCTGTTGCATATCCATGAACTATGTTCCAGTGTGTATCCTCTTGTGGTTCAATGAAAGGTCTTGAATGCTTTTTTGCAGCTTTGGACGGAACAAGTAAACAGCTCAAAAGAAGGAGTCTCAGAGGCTTCCATCTCTGTGGACTTGACTCATCTTACATTAGATATCATTGGAAGATGTGCCTTTGGGTACAATTTTGACACCGTGTTGTCAGGAGAAAGTGAAGTTTCAAATGCATTCTCTGATGTTATATTAGAAATCAATTTTGCCCGATTGATGAGACAGAAACTTATTCCACTTTACAAATATCTTCCACTCCCTGATAATGTAAGGGCAAGAAAAGGTCTGGAACTGACAGATAAAACTGTCCTGGAGGTAAGGTGTGACTGGATTTATTACCTTAAAATTGGAAGCATATCTAAGTAGGCACGTACTCTTTTGGACCAACAACATCAATTTTTTTGATATCCATTACAGACTGAATAATAATGCATAGTTTAGAGCTACCATTAACAAATGAAATCTGAGACACTTGAACACAATGTTGATCAACATCAATCATTGTATGATAAGCCTAAGCAACCATGCAATATCTATGCAATTTAAGAACAACTGACAATGGTAATAGGACTGAGTTGAGTCCAATTCTGTCTGTAATCGTATGAGTGATTACAAAATTGGATGACTGCAAAGTGAGAGTCCAATTTGTTGATCATGAGTATGATTACAGACCAAATGGGACAACAGAAAGTCCTGTTACCGATTAATCATAACCATTACAATTTCCAAGAAAACAAATGCATTTATTTGAGAAAGTATCTCTGGTAGAGATATCGTCTAAAATGAAAAATCCTCTCTTATTGAAATTCCCCAGTTTTGTTGGGTAAGGGGTTGTTGTTATGGTAATTTTTAATTAATCCTGTGATTTTTGGATTTAACTGAGTGGGTTTAGTATGATTGGCTGCTTTAACTGTCCGATTGTTTTTTGTCCAATTATAACTAAGTGTCCCCTTACATTATCTGATTACAACTCTGCAAAGTAATTTGTGAAAAGTAAAGCAGCTCATTCACCAATAACATTAATAAATTTTGAATGTTTATGATTCATTAATTATTATTATGTGTACTAGTTATGCTGTTAGATGATAATTCTAAGCAATTGAAGAGTGTAATTGAAGTGCTCTTGGAATTGATGCTGTTCACTATTCCCCAAAGTATTGGAAAGATCCACATGCTTTTAACCCACAGAGGTTTGATGAAAACGGTAAGATTGAGGCATAAATTTCTCTCTTTTTTTATTTGCTTGTTTGCTTTTCTTTCATGACTGCTCTTGCAGAACAGGAAAAATCCCTGTTAAATTATGAACTGAGTTATGTTAAGATTCTTGGGGAAGGTCAAATGAGAGCCAAATGCAGTCACTAGGAGGGGGACCCATCTGTATGGCACCTCCCAAAATTTGAATTTCAAGTTGTTTGGAAATGCGCTTTCCATCACTCAGAGACTAAATCTGTGTATTTTAAAGCATAAAATTTTAATCCTCATTTGTTATATTTTTCAGTCCTTTACATTAAAATATTGCTTGGCTACATAAAAACCATTGCCAGTGATGTATTCCTGCTAAGCTTGTCAACTCTACTAACAACCAAGTCAATTAAGAGTTGCCATTTTTTCTCAACTGTTTTTTGAGATTTTCTTTTGACGTTACTTATCTCAGTTTACGAGGTTGGACTGAACCCCTTAAGCCCTCCCTCCTCCCATTCCTGCCAGCCACAGGGCTCTGTATTCTCCAAGGAGGAAATTTGTTAACTCAAGAATTGGCTGACAACAGTAGCTCTATTTAGATTAAAATTAGTTTATCTGTACACGCACATACACTGAGGATCATTTCGGGTTCGCGTGCTGAGGAGTGGATGGTTTTTCTATGTTTGACCGCGCAGATAGAAATGTACATACGCAAAATGGATGTCGCAAAAAGTTACCCACACGGCCACACGAAGAACGCTTTTGTTTTTTCTTTTATATTAGATTTTATTATTTGTTATATATTATTAAATACCTATCAAAACTTTCGGAAGACTTCAGGACTTGCCATACAAAGGTGACAAATTTTTTGGACGCTATATTTAATAAAAGAGATCTCTAAGAATTAAACGTGTCATTAAATTATCGTGTGTGTGTGTGTGTACTATCATTGCAGATGAGAACTACCAAGCTCATCATCCATATGCGTTCTTGCCGTTCTCCGCTGGTCCTCGCTCCTGCATAGGGAGTAAGTTTGCCATGGCAGAGATGAAAGCTGTGTTATCTACTTTGTTGCGACACTTAACATTTGAAGAGATTCCTGGATTCACCGTGAGACCAGTTATTCGATTGACAGCTAAGCCAGATCCGCCATTGCGGTTAAGGATCAGAAAGTTGACAAGTTGAATATGGCTTCAGCGTATTTGTTTGGTTGGTTGGATGTGTAACAATTGCGTTTAGGGCTCAGTATTAATTAGCAGTGCTTCAAAACACTACATAAGGTAGAAGGTATGCTCGCAATCATCTACTATCTATTTTTATCGACTGTTTCGTTAAAATCTGTGTTAGATATTTTGTATTTCAATTAGTTTCTTTTATAAACATTATCTTAAAATTGCCGCCATGTCCGGCTGATTAACAGTCAACGTAAAATTTCAGTTTTCTTCAAGTTATGTCTGTGCGTTGTTCTTGTAGTTTAGCGCGGTAATATTCCACCTCTGCTTTTTTGTTTCCTAAATATCTGAGCCAAAATGTGCGTATTCTTGGGTACGGACAAACGACAGAGAAAATCCAACACAAGACTACTAAACCAACAAAGCCCATGGACCCAGCGAGGAAATACAACGGAACCATTCGCCGACTCATTTCTTTTCAACACTACAAGCGTAATTTGCGGACTTGAAATAAATTTCCAAGGTGCTAAAATGCGGCTAATATCGACGAGGAATAGATGAGCCAATACAAAGGATGTCCTTGCTCTGAAACGAAACGAAAAACGAATTTCAAATTAAATATTGTTATTAGCATACAGTCAAATGGAAATAAAAAAGAAACGAAAAGGTGCATACCACAAATAAAAATAATTTCACTCAGTTGTAAATAATAGTGTGCAAGACATACCGTATTGTACTTGTTTTAAGCCCAGCACAGGCCTATTGCGCGGGTCTAGCGCTACATAGTTCTTAAGAATTAAAATTCATATTTTCCTCTCTGTCGGTAAATAAATAAAGCGTATTTACCAATTGCAGCTGGACTGATATTCTTGGAAATTTAAATTTTCCTTCCCTCTCAGGTTATCTGTCATTTAGAAATGTCAAGCGTACCGAAACCATTAACAACTATTTGTGGATTAATTCGAGACTGGGATGCAAAGCCAAACAAGCGTCATACGAGCGTAATTTTTTACGTCACCGAGGCACTCAAGCAATAACAAGAAGCCGTGTTTCTATCGACAAAATGATCTCTGTGTTCGGTTGTCAAGTAGCCCTCGGTATCTCAATTCAGTTTTCCCTCAATCACGGATTTTCAAACTTGACAGCAATACTTATTTGCTGAATGTGCCAATTTCAATTTGCCCCCGGCAAAAAGAGAAAAAAAGGAAGGAAAATGATAATAGGCGTGAATGAAATATTGTTCGTCAAGCCGGTAATACATAGCGCTGACGCACGTTCATTTCGACGCAGGGTTCACACCTAAGGCTGTCAGGAGAGCTTTCAGACCGATTTAGTGGTAACAGAATCTTCTTGGAAATGTGCTCTCCGAGGGAAAATGTCCCTGAAATTACATTTACCATTCCCCCACCCCCGCTTCCTCTCCTCTTTCCTTTTGAAAAAGAGGAAGGTGAGACTTATTAGGGTGGTTTTGTTTTGGTTCCGTCTGTGTTTATGCCTTAGAATGAACTATGACCACCTGCACCATACAGACAACTTTTCCACGACGTTCAAACAAGAAGCGAACAGAACGAACTGACATTATTGATTGATCAATACTGGCCAATCACGACAACCTCGTGCTACTTGAGTCTCAAGTCGAGTATCATCACGGCAAACCCGATCAATCAGTTTACACGAACTGTACTTAATTCACTGGACTGACAAACAGCTCTTAACCTGACTCGGATGATGATTCCCGCTCACCAGGACAATCAGAGTACAAGATCAAGGACTACTGAAGCAATGCTCTTGGCCACTCGAGACCCGCACGAAATAAAGACGTGTGAGCAAGAGCTAACTAGCTAGGGCTTGGGACATGACGAACATGACATGCTTGACGTATCTCCTTTCTCGAAACCCAATGATTCCGATCTACTCGCTCATTTCTTATTTTTCAGAGCTGCTCTCGCAACTAGATTTTTATAAAATTTCTAAACTACCAAATTGCGTCGAAATGCTCGAAAACTGATTTTGTTTCTTATGCAATTTAAACCCACTTTAGGGTGGCCTAAAGCTTCAGAACAACCTTCACCTCTCACTGAAACACTTTCTACGGTCTCGAGATCTTTCTAATTCACACTAAAAAACGTAGAAATATGTATCAGCATATCTAGTAACAATGGGTAAGAAGCTGTGAGATATTAATTAGCTGCACTTAGTATCTGCAAGTAATATGGCCATTGATTTTGCCTACGAACACTTTTTGTAAAGATATGTAAACATTTTAAACTCGTACATTTGAGGGCTCATGGTGTTCCCTACTTGTTGTAAACTTCGCTAATCACAACTTTAACGTCAACTTTTGACAGGCTGACTGACTGTCTGAATGCCACACTTTATTACTAACTGACTGTACCACTGACTGACCGATCGAACGCCTGACCTAACCGATTGACAGTGATCAGTCGGTCAATCTGTTACCATCTTGATGGCTGTGCTCTTCTTCACGAAAAACTTAATACTAAAATGCATTGCAAGTGGGAAGCAAATACTTCGCGAAAGCATAGAGAAGTTGACACAATTATCAGATGGATTCAAAGGAAAGATGATCTAATTAACATATACAGGTCAAAATTGCAAAGCAGAACCATGCGTTGAAAAAAAAAAAAAAAAAAAAAAAAGGAAAAACTAACGAGAGTGAACATGGTGCCCTGGTACCCTGTTCCAAAACAAAACAGCGTCTTGTATTCATTCAAGAGACCGTGAGTAGTTCATGCTTTCTTGACTCAGTATAACTTGTTTTGTGTGCTCGACAAATCCTTTGGTTTCAACTTCTATGGAAGGCATTCCCTACTACATGTATATTGCTTTGTCTCATTTGTTTACTTCAAAGAAAGCCAACTTTAAGTTTCGCAATGATGTCGCTCAATTGCAAGTTGACTACGTAGAAAGGTCATAATTAGCATCTTGTCCAAATTACATGGCTCTCTTAGAACATGAAAATGCTGCTTAAAGAGCTTCGATATCAGGTAGGATGATTAGCTTTATTGCTTTGCGTACTGTGCTGATTTATGCACTGGCGTTCCAATATCATCCCAATGAAATACGCACAAACAAGTTTTATGTCCATTTAAAATAAAATTAAGTCGTCAACCCATGAAATCTCGTGTATATTCTGTCAGGTTGGCTAATTTCTGAGTCATTCTCATAATGTGTGTCTGTCGAATAGGTTCTACATCCTCCCCTCCTTTCGCAGTTTTCAATCACTGCATCGTTTGTTTCATTGTTGTTTTTCCTGGTTGCTTCACGAAGAGGCCAGGGCACTTCCCACCTGGTCATGAACTTTGATTTGTTACAATTTTCTTCCACAACAGTAGTTAAAACATTGGAGTAGGAATCTTCCATCATCTCTCCGCGACCCCGCGGGCCAAATTCACAGAAGTACAATACCACAAGAAGTAAACCAACCAGGATCAACACTAAGCAGAAAGCAATAGACGCCGAACTGATCTCGATCATCAACAAGGGAATATCCTTCCACCTCCAAACTTGGATCCAAGATTCAAAAGCATCTTTTTTGATGGGATGATGCTGCTGTTTTGTTAAAATTCTTTCTTAATCAAAGCAAACTAAAAATACTTATGCATACTTGTTTACATGTGTCGTCCCGCCTCTGTGGGATATCAGCCTGTTTGGCTCTTTGACATACAAATTACGATCTAAGTTAATGTTAGTTGGCACTTTTGTATTCGAGTCCCTGGAGGCTAATGATCTTTGTCTACTGGCAAACAACTATGAAATGACCACCGTAACTCTTAGCAACTTAAATCAAATTCTTAAAACGTCTTTTGTGCTACATCAAGAAAAGCAGTTCAAGGACTCAAAACTCATATCCAAGAAATTGAAATTATCTTGCCATTTCTTAATTTGAAATAGAAAAGTATCAATCGTGGGACATTTTGTAACCGGGTGAGAATCGGATCGATCTAAAAACAACATTCTGTGAGGATAATGTCTATGTAATTTTGCATAACAATTCATCTTCCTTCCTTTTCAGTTTGAGATAAGTTAATGTACGGTCTTGCTTTTTAGAAGAAAATATACTTCCCCCGTTATGCGTATACTGATGAAATTTTAGCACAATGAAACGCAAAACTGTAATTAAAATGCTTCGCATTATTATCGCTGATGAAACTTCGGTTTACGATATGTCTAGCCACTTAAAAAGCATAGTTCTCTGCATAATATTTTGTTTCTTTGTTTTTTTTCTTTTACGTGATTATTGAGTCTATAAGCGAAGTAAGGGGTCTTCCTTCTTTCTCTGGTTATTCACATGGAACCAGAACTCATCAGTTATAAGCACTCACTCGGAGCTCGTTCTTCACCGGTACAGCCGTCTTCTTTTTTTATGTTTCGATTGAGTGTCATAAACCAAACTCGAGTATTCACGACAGCCAAGCAGAGGAAAGGAAAATGTCACAAGGAGCCGAAGAAAATTCAAAGTAAAAACAAAAAGTCGCGATTGCCTTCGTTTAAATCTCATGGGTTGAGAAAGTGGTGCTAGATTTCAGGACCAATCATAGAACGAAGAAAAAAAAAACCAAAGAAAACTCGGATTAATTTCGAAACTGGATCATAATTTGCACTATTAAAGTTTACTTACTATATGTGAATTGCATAAAATCGCTGTCATAATAGTGAATTAGATAACAATTGAGAGCTATGCAGACTCGAAATACGTATAAGTTTTATTTTGTTTTTGTTTCGTTAGTTTAAGTGTGTCTTTTAAATCTTTCATGGCGTTAACAGAGACGGTAATCATATATTATTAAACAAAAAACTAAATTTACTCAAACAGTTAAATAAATTTAAAGCCATTCTTTTTCAAAGTAACTGGTTACTTAAGACAGAATATTAATTAATTTTCACCCTGCATTATTTGTGGAACACTTAAAATAGGAGGTCGTTGCAACAATGTCGCTAAATTATTATTTTACACTAAAATTCTGCGTGGGAGGATCTATCCTCTTCGTGTTCTATTACCAGAATGTCGTAATCCGGTGAATAAATGTGAAAATCTCCCTTGTTGCCTGTGTAGCTACTTTGTTCTTCCAACGTGAGAGTACATATGTTGGTCTTCTTGTTAGCTACCTGAGTTGATGAGAACGATTTCTCGAAGCTTTGTAAACCTTTTGGACTCTTATAATAGTTGAGTAGATTCTCAGTATATCTACTGTTCGTCTGGGGTGATAACGGCCCATTGCTTTTCTGTTTCTGCGGGAAGACTCTACATTTGTTGCTGTATTGATGGCACAGTTTCGTTTCCACAGAATGACGTGGCTTGTTGACCCGCCTTGCATCTCGAATTAATTGATTTTCACTGAGATATAAATCCTTTCCATTTTCTGAATTTATTTCCAAACCATTCAACGGCGGTAAAATCAACAGCTTTTGTCGCGTGGAGTTTTCTTTCTCTTTATGTGGCTCTGTGTATCGAAGTACCTCGTTTTCTGTTGGCAATTTTCTCAGGTGCGCATAGCGTTTACCAATTTCCTTCTCTTTCTCTTTGATTTCCTTCAGCCTGTTTTGAAAAATTCGATCAGTTTCCATTTGGTCTCGCCTTTGCTTGGCCATTTCTTGTCGTTGCCGCTCTCTTAGTTTAAAAGATTCGTTTTTATAGCTGTCGTATAACGCTTTTCGGATGGACAAAACACTTGGATCCATCTTCATCCGTTTGCGATAATTCTCCAACAGACCAGCAAAATAGCTGTGGTTCATCATGCAGCAAGCTTCAACTAGGACATTCCAAGGATCTTCAGAGTCTGACGAAATGATGGACAACAACCTATCCGCTCTTAAATTGCGCTGATAATTA